GCCTGCATCATTTAACTCAAGTTTATCCTTCATTCGATCGTGTTCGACGAATGGTCCATGTGAGCTCGTGTCGGTTGTACGGTACGGTAGTTATTGTACCATGTTCTTAGCTCACTGTTTCGAGTTTCGCATGCAATCGACTGGCCTATCACAACATAATATCAAGTCATTGCTACTGTTGGACAAAACTTCCTTGTATATAAACCAGTCCTTTGATCATTCTACATACAAAAGTTCATCAATCGCTTTTGATTCCGCCATCGGAGCTTGTCAACCTAGCTTCTGACTGTAAGTTGAATAAGAAAAACAACGTCCTGATTTGCTTGCTAAACTACCGGAAATTCCGTAGTCGTTCTACCGCGATTTTCCGTGAGTTTTAATCGAACCTTATTTCATTTTCCAAGATGAATCAAAGTGTTCATATTTTGAATCTTATTCTTATTTCATAAAAACTGTTCACTCATATACTGTGTACCATGGATCGCCGAAGATACACAAATCGAATATGCCACTCAGACCAGTGATTGATATCTGCAGTTCGACCTGTCATACCATTACCGTACCTGTTCACCAATCGTGGACCAGACGAGATGCGAACGATTCGTTCGTATTCATTGATCGCATCGCGATGCAAAACGCGTTGCATAAGCTTTACTATGCTTTCGTTTGTTGTCGAATATTTGTTCACGAGTGTACCACTGCCGGGCATGGTAAATTTCATTTATCAACACAGTTGAAAATAATAGCCAGACTGGAATCCCAGGCCAACAGACAAAAAAATGAAAACTTGGATGAAGTTGCAACATACAGTTTTCGGACAGTCAAAAACACCACTAACAGAATTTTGTGTCCAGGAGATGGTCACTTGAGCCACTCCGAACAGAAGTATTTTCAGCCGGGCTTGAAAGTGAACCGTCGAAGGACACGATCGATAATTTGGATTTATTCACTAGATGTGTGGACGATACATTATCATTCTTGATTCTACAGTAGACATTATCAAACTACGCCCAGGTTCGGAAACGCTCATCCAATTATACAACTCGCGATGGAGCTAGAGAAAAATAATCTCGCTTTTCTGCCTTCTGGGCTTCTCCGAATGGCTGGTGGTAGTCTGTAAACCCACGGCCGTAGGATGATAATCACGTTCCCTAAGTTTCGTCCCATTGAAACACGAACGTTATTCAGTTACCTGTTCAGCCCACAAGGTGTTGAGAATTCGTAGTTCCTAGACCTTGGATGATGATTTTCCCCGCGTAACAGACAGTTTCAGTTTTTACAACCATCAGCCATGCACTTTCGTGCACCGGTTTTGGTTGCTGTCTTTTGACCGCCCGTTCGGATAAAAGTGGAGGATGAAGATTGGAATGTTAAAAGCCAATCCAAACAGCGTATAGAGAATTCATATAGACTGTTGTTAAGAGAACAATGAGTAAATGCATGAGCTCCACTGTTTGTGACACTCAACCATATCGCTCAGTGTCTCCAACCATCGGTGACTATAATCTCGGGGTCCCGAATCAGCGAGCTTAACGGGACCTATGTGACCTAGGGGTTAGGGTTTTCATACTCTCATACCAGGTCTTCGTTCGTAACGGACACCCGTCGAAGAAACGAATACCCTGATGGGAAAAGTTTTTACCTCAACTTTGGTTATACTGAACAATGTTGAATTTCCAGTTAATTTAGTGTGTTCTCAACTGTCATCAAGTGCTTTGACCAAAGCTGCTAAAGAGGTTTGTCAGACAGAGATTCTGACGTTCCTGTGAGTTGTAGATACACTGGCAAACAGATTGGAAAGAACAAAAACATCTTCCTCTGTTATTGTGGCCATTTTGGTTTGTAACAGCTGCGTCCCCATAATCGATCTTGGGTAGCAAATTGAGTTATGCTACTCTCGAACACTGTTGAATGCGTAACTCACAGTCATCAAGGAAAATAGTTTCTCACTGAATTCAGAGACGAAAAGCCAATCTTTGGTTTATAACCGGGTTAACCAGCAACCGGCATTCTTGACCCAGGGATTTGAAAATCCCGCGATCGTGCCCGTGGATCTTCTCATTGGTTACTGGTAACGCAATTACAGACATACATTACTGCGGCTGGCTCCTCGGAAAGGATAAACCGGCTCCAGACATGATCATGAAGTTCCTTGAAAGTTTTATACGAGAGACGTCTCCAGCGTCATTCTACTTTTTTTACTTTGGGGGTACACCTCTAGTCTTTGCACAACCAAATTCGAACTGCGAGGCAGCAAGAAATAATTCCTGGCCTCGGAAGTAAGGGGTCAATCGATGTAGTTTTAAAAGGCCAGCCACATCGACGTTTGTCACGACATCGTCATTGGTCTTATGTGGCTTTTAAACAGGAGCCAGGCGACCAGCCTGAAACCCACCACACCCTGGTGGTGCCCCCGCTGTTTGTTCGCGACTGCCTATTTGTTGCGGTATGCCACAACTTATTCACAGCTAACCTACCCACTGACACCTGCTCCCAATAGATCGTATACTTGAAATCTTGTGGATTAGACGTTTCTGTGAAATGTTTCTCCTGAGGACCCGAAAGCCTTTTCTGCAGTACAGTACCTCAAACTGCATGGTTTCCCTCGACAGCTCTGCGTTTGCATGCCTCCTTCCCCCAGAATTTTTGCTGTAATAGAGTATGAGTTTGCGCTACTGTATAATTAAATAGGATTATACAATACTCATTGTAAGAAGCCCACACGTATTTATTATATACCCTCCTTTAGGTCTTGGAGCAATTCAAAATGTTGATTGATAAAGTAGCGTTTATCCTATACGCTGTTCGTGAGTGAAGATGAAACATAAACGTGGTTTTTGTTTTTCCTTTGTACGACGGCACATGATGAGGGAAATAATTGCTTCCCAGTTCTATCGGCTTCATATCCTCGCATCTAAATTGGTTTTTTCGGGTATCGACTCTGCAAAACAGGCCATCAATCATCGTAAAAAACGAATAGATAAATAGATTACTTGCAGCTCTCAATTGTTGGTTCGCAAACGGATTGAATAGAGAGGAGAAGAAATGTGTAGCGATTATTAGACAGTAGCTCATGCCTAATTTACAATAAAGCTTAATTTGACTCATTTCGGAAGCTTGATGATGACTACTTTTCGTCGTATCTACGTTATTGAAATCAATTCCTTTTCAGCTCTTCCGTCATTAATGGTTTTTTTTGTCGGTTTATCTGATTTTTGTTTTTCTTTTATTTGAACTGTGATTAGAATACGTTCGGAGAGAAACCAACCACGTTGTTGATAGCCTTTGAATATTGTGAATCGGTTACGCTCGCGCACGGGTTTAAAGGCTGATCGACCAAACTCAATTTGGTCTCGCACAATGTACTTTGCTAGCGGGAGCACTGACGGAAAATCAATCGCCATAACCCAATAGTTGGGTTGATTAGAGTACACCAGTGGCCGAAGCATTTCTTCGTCTTATGGTATTAATCGATTTTCGCGTCCTGTGTTTCCGAATCCGGATCTTCTGTCGTTGTCAAAAACTGATGGATGTTGCGCGATAGAACGATATCTGGTTGGGAACAAGGAGAACTACTCACCATCAATGACTGAGAGATAAGTATGAGTGCAATCGACTAAAGAATTTTCTGATCTGCAAACGTTGTTAGTAATTCCTGCTATCGTGTTTCTAAATCCCGAATGTATCTGAATGAATAACAAATACTTCAAGTTAGCAGGTGTGCATCCGATTGGATATTCGTATTCACCACTTACAATAAGTGCTGCAATGAACGAGGCGTTTACGATATAGAAGGACAAGAGTAGCACCCTAGATGACTAAGCGCCATATTACTGATCGAGTTGATTGTGCGAAAAATCTTGTTAGATGGAACGCTCAGTGGAATAACGTGACATTTAGTGAACGACCCTGATCGACTAACTGAACTTCGGCATAGCGCACTGGAAAACAAGTTGGACCTTAACCACCGAGTTATTTATTGTGGTTTGGGAATGCTATTTTCACGGACGGTAAATCATTACTGAAGGTTTTCGAAGGAAAGCAGACAGTTCACCTGTATATCAGAACTTTGAACAATCTACCTATCGGGGCCTTATGTGGTTCACCACTCCAAGTTCTGGGGCTTAGGTTACCGGTTTCCACATTTGAACAGCAAGTCCTCGTGACTATGGGAATCTGCTGTTCATCACGGGAAATTGTGTAGTAAAAAGATCTGCTTCATGTTGTAGCTGGATGTTCCTCACACTATCCACGAGTAGTATGTTTTTGGAAGCGTGAACAGTGGTCGGCGATTCTCACGATTTTCACCGAAGGCGCACAGCAGCTGATAAGTGAATTCCATGTTGTATCAGCAGACGATGCCAACAGATCATTGAGCTGTTTTGACCACTGATACAGATTATTCCGAGGAGCCATGACCAGCCTGTTTCGGATTGCGTGTTTCGTTCTATAAAACCCCATTTATTCTCCGCCTATGCCCTTCTTTTAATAAACGATTCCTCAGTTGAAAACTGCACCTGCGGATTATTAACAACGGCCTTATTCTGGAAGATCTATCTGATCCAAACTTTCTTAGGGAGATAACATCGCTATACATACCACCAGACTTAGTACAACCTGTTTCTTGTATCAAATTTATGGGCACCGGACATTGGTCCACTTGGAGCACTATTTTTAAATCTTATTACTGATGAAGCGATCCTGTGTAGATTGACAAATCTTTATCACCATCTACGGATTACTGTCTAGTTACCCAAACTGCAGGACATAAATTCGAGACTGCAACAGTTTTAATCTTATTCTGAATATGACCTAATTAGGAATTTCAGATCCGCAACAAAAACTGTTCTTTTTGATCATCTGATGGCTTATTAATCACTCGGCTATTGGTTGCGCCAAAAGCATTTCGCACAAGTTTCCTCACCCTGATTCAGTTTTTTCTGAGTCTGAGCTTAAATCTGTTTCAAATCTCAAAGAAAGTGCTGAGGCACACAATTCTCATGATTCCAAGTGTACGCCTTAGCGAGAAATTGGAGAAAACTGCTTATGTCCGAATAGTAACCTGTGCCCTGAGTAATGGGGAGTATACCTACAGGTATTTTTTTAATTTGGCTAATTTTTTTATCCCCTGTTATTTCCCACCAGTGTTCGGAATAAGAAATCGGTCGCATGATCTTATCAAATCCTCTACCACTCACGTGTGCACAGACAGAAAACCGCGTGCTCAGCATCTCCTCTGGTCGTCCGCGACCGCTTACTCACTGCAGCACGATCTAAGCATTCACTCACGCCCAGTGTGATTACGTGCGTAAATTGACAGTTAAGAAATTCAGATGAAGAGAGAGAACGAACTAAATGGAACTACTTCTGCTGAAACTATTCGTGTGCAACAAATTCCAGATTTCGCTCAATAGGCTATGCGACGACTCTTGTTTACTGCCATTTTTCGTTCGCCATTCGATTGTGGCCAGCCCTACTTCATCGCGGCAGAACATGTTTCATTGTTTCTACATGCCGCCCCAAAAATGTGATCTAACCTCGAACAGCCTAAGATGTCCTCCCCACCTACTTCGTTATGAGTGTTACACACACATACATACACGGTCCATATACGTGTTTTAATGTGTATTATTTCCGGAAAATAGTTCTTTACCCCACCTGTACACGGATCCTCTAGCTCCTCCACTATCTCATCATTAGCTCACTGCCATCCGCTTCTCGGAACGTCCCTACGTTCCAGTTAAGTTAACGTCTGCAACGCATTTCCCATTCTTGTGATCGTGTGTGTGTGTGTGTGTGTGTGTGTGTGTGAAAGAGAGAGAGAGAGAACAGTTCACCGCGCTCATCTGCCCTCACATCTCCGCCAGTGGTGTGTTTCGATGGCCTCGTGTCGCGTACACGATTGCTTGCGTAGTCAGCCGTAGTAGCCGACGTGTACGGGGTTTACGGACAATGGGAGGCTCGAAATTTAGAAAATTTGGCACACCGCATAGGTGCCACCGCATGGTTCGCTGTCTGCCGCGTCAACGATAGTTTTGCTTATCAGCATGTACGCGTATCACTCCGCCCGTTTATGTATTTGTGCGTGTGTCGGTTTGCATTTTTGTTTCGATGTGATCTATGTGTTTTTCGTCTTGGCAGACATTTACCCGGATTGTACGTGTTAGAACTGGTGCCTGGTTGTGAGGCTCAGTTGGACGGACGATTGCAAAAAGACGATCAGATTTTGGAAATAAACGGCATTGATCTCTCGGACGGGACCCAAGAGCAGGCTGCACACATCATTAACGTGAGTTTTTGCTGTTCAATTGATTGATCGATTTTGACGGTTTTTCTTTCGTTCATCGAAATTCCGTCTCATGCAGTTTATCAGATGGAATAGTTTATCTTCCGAAATTTGCTTTTTGCCTTATCTTTGTCTATTGGATTCTGGTAATCATTCTCCGAAGCCTGCTTTGATGTGCACGGAAAACGAACCCACGCGCACACACCCGAGGCATCTTCTCTGGTCCTGTTAATTCAACGAATCCCACTTTCTTTCATCTCAATTTTTCGTTGTTGCGCTGAAAATCATCGTGCTCACTATGAGCAAAACGTTTTCAGGCATAATTGACCTAGCCCGATCGGCCGTTCGATAGCCGGTACGGAAAACCTATTGCCCCTCAGCTAGTGGTTGTTTGAGTTATGTATTAAGTGCACGAAAATTACTTTCCGAAAATGTATGAGGGAGTTGAGTTTCTTACCAATATAGACAGTGAACCAATAGGTCCCTAAAATTCAATTCGGAGGGCGACCAAATTGGAAATTTCTTCAGTGAACTAATTGGGGACAGATATCGATCACAGTTGTATCATCGCGTGAATTATTCGGTGTCAATTATCCCCATTCTAGTAGTTTTCCAGCGAACCGTGAATAGTTTTATTGGTTGCTTTAACATTCCAATATCAGTTGCAAAGTCCACGTGGTGCCGTAACCGTACCATTTCATTTCTAATTCGTTTAAATAAGTGTACCCACCATGTAATAACTTCTTCATATCTCAAGGCCAAACCACCGTACCAAACCCGTTATGTATATCACTCCATCCCCACATTCATCCCTATTTTAAGATTTAATCACTTGACTTTGGGTCTTATGTCTTCTGTTCTAAGTAATATCTATTCTCCATACACAGTCTTTTTTGTGCAATCTGTCGTGCTGTAACCAGGCCAAGAAGTAAACCTCTTAAACAAGAGGGGGAGAGATTGCTCATTTTCGTTAACCGGTTGTATAAGCTTAGTTAGCGGTCGATCGTGTTGAGCGTGAACAGAAATGGCTTTTTGATTTGAACGAAGTAACAACAATCCCGTCTATTACCTAAGTTGAATGACGGTACCGGGTTCGAACCACAGACAACAATATAAAATCCCATGAAAATCACCCCTTCCCAGTAACCTATAATAATCCGTTTTGAGACTGACCTTGGTTTGAAGATTTTCTGTCTTCGTCATACCATAAGTTGGGTCAATGACTGTATTATGCTCTCAGTTTGTCTAAAACTTCACTTGGCTCCGATTCTGGTTGCGGTCTTTCGTTTATCCATTTGGTCGTCCAATGAGGAAATGAGCAAACCTGAACGATCAGCTGTAAACAGTCCGAAACGAGGATACAAAATCCAGGGAGTAAGTGCATGGATGCACAAGCGCCACATCGCGTAGTGCATCATGAGTAATTGACTTCATCACATTATCGTCACATATCAAAGGCTTATGCGGCTTGTATGACGGAATGCTTCGGATTAGGTTACGTTTATTATGGTGAACATTTTCACTGGAGACTAATCTAACTAATGATTATTCAAATGGGGATTGTTGTTATTGTTTTTTGTCTCAATTTCACAAAACCGGATATGGCTGATCCTACCATCGGTACTTACACTTGATCCGTGTTAATTGTATGATTTCGGGGGTTGAGATTGGGAGGTGGAGGCGAAAGAAGATGAGAATGGGAGATGGAGGGCCAGCCATGGGAGGTTGAGTTTATTGTTTTTGTGCGCACAATGGGGGATTATGTAGACGAATTCCAACCGCCTCTGCGGTGGCTAGGATGCGGCTTTAATCGGCTTTGACCTGCTACCTGCTACAGTAGAGAGGCCTAAATGCTTAAGTTACACTTACTGTGTGATCGAAATGGACGAGGTGTGAAACGATGGCACTTGTAATGGTTTTAATCACACCGGTGTGCCAGCCAGGCCGAATGATGTTCCCGAACTCGTGTAGACAAGTGCCTGCTCGTTAATAATAATTAGTTTTGTTTCCTCTTTTCCATACAAAATGATGTGATATAAAATGTGAAGTATTAACCAATTGACGAGTCACCGAAAAAAAAGCTTTTTCGCTAAACTGCGTTTGTCATTCAATGTATCGCTGGTATATTCCGGGAACTAATCTAACTGATGACCGGATAGGTTGAGTGGTGTGGCCATCAGTCACCTTTATCCCCCGTAATTGTTTCCTATTCTTTCATTTTATTCCTTCCAAGTGTGTGTGTGTGTGTATGTGGAATAACAGGGTGATCAAAAGACAACCAGGACGACCGGTTACACACACGGAACACTGATGTGCAATCGGATGATTTTCATTTTCTCCGCATCACGCAGCAGAAACGGTGATGCTTGATAAGCCCCGGGAAAATAGTCGGCCTTCGTAGTCGTGGAGTTTGGATTTCTTTGGCTGATTGTGTTGTACGAAATTCATTCTTTCATCACCAAGATTGACTGGTTATATCTGAACACGAGAATTCGCAACATAGTGTGCTTATAACAACGACACTAGTCTCCCATGTCCTAATGTTAATGTATGCATGTATAATTTGTAAGCTGTCACGATTCATGTCACAATCCGAAGTCTGAAACACCCCCAACAGGTGAATGTTCCGTTTGAATAATATATATCAACATGGCCTTCTTCGTTTAAGTCGCATTCATACATGCTGCTTTGTATGTAGAATTCATTGGATCAGTTGGATGCCGTTTAATTGAATTACACTGTGGTGCATGAACATATTTCAGTCGCTGTACCGTTTCTGATTTGAACTGATTCTGGAAAGGTGACGGTGTGCCTGCTCGCACGATATTTGTTTCACAAATTTATTGGGATACGACCACCATTTCATGATCAGTATATGGTTTTTTTAGCAATTCCTCGAGACTGATGGCCGAACTCTATTTGATCATACACAGGAGACGAAATTTATATCGGGTATAAAACATATCGTCTTGGTTGTATTTATCTTCAATCAGACTAGAATCCGTCATCGGAGTAGGAATTTCCTCCCGGCGATTATCAGATTCCTAGATTGCCTATAAGATCATGCAAAATGCACTATTGGCGTTTCTGCCGAATGCAATCACACGATCACCCTAGGTATACCACGTTTTCGATCCATTGTAAGAAGCATACATTCCGAATAGTTTGTACTTGCAGATGTTGGCGGCCTTTTCTGTGTTGAGGGTTTTCACGTTTTCAGCAGGATAAAATTTAGCCTAATCTGAGATCAAAGTTTGACCTAATAGTCATTAAACGGTATGCAAATGTTAATTTTAATGATTGATTGTACTGTTCTTTCCGTGGTCCCACCTGTGGCTGACTCAACGATCCTGTGAGGATAACTCAAAGCTCATTATTCGTTCAGGTTTGTACGCATCAGTGTTCCCTCAGAATTTCCTCTACCCGTGCATTGATTCACAAGCAAGAAGTCAGATTTTGTATCCGCCAATAGCTCTTGTTTTTTTTCGATAGACTGAGAAAGCTAACAAAACCGATTCACGGATACACCAGTTGATTTCAATAACTGTCATGGTTTGTTTTCTCATTCCAATCAACAGCAATGAACAATTCTCTTACGCATGACCGAATGAGGCTACACCTCTCCTTCTCTGTCCAACTTTGAAAGCTGATAAAATACATGTATGTACAGATAGAGTTACATGTGGCATGGAAAGCTGTAACACCTGTTCGTGAAGGCCATACTTGTTATTTTTCCTAACTGTTTTCTACGTGTGTGCTTGATTGAAGATCAGTCTCCCGGTTTCGTCCAAAGGGTCTGACATGCTTGACATGTACGATTAATCTTCAAAGTTTAGGTCCGCAAGTTAGATTTTTGTTCCACAATCTATCTCTTTTTTATCAATCACAGACCGCTGCAGATTGGGTGAACTTCAAGGTCAGTCGACGACATCGTGCAGACACACCAGATATTTTGCGCATCACAAACGGTTCGGACGAACAGGTGCAACTGCTCTCCTCTCCGCTTCGTTCACTGCGGTTGAATGCTGCGGACTCGGTCAATCCTAGCCTTGTTATATCCGATTCCCTGACCCGCTCAACGGTAACCGAGCGAAAAAGACGTGTCGGATCCCGTCAGTCTAATCGCAGTCTCTGCTCCCCGCCAACTTCCTCACGTACGGCAGACAGTAGTTCTTTGCACGCATTTCGTATTCCCTCCACTGCTTCCGCGTCCATCTCTTCCTCGTTGTCCTCATCCACTGAACCATTCACAGTGTCCAAATCCACTTCCCAGTTACTTGTGGATGAAGAGGATCATATGAGCAGTACGAAAGAGGTCACCGTGACTACGGCCTCAGGAAGTCCGCAGCGCAGTGAATCGGCAGTCTATGCTCCACAATCCGTCACTCCACAATTTTTTGCTCCCCGGGTAGGTTCATATTATATTTGCTCTTCTCTTTCGTAAATGCGTTGACTAATTTTTCAGGAATTGGTGGAGTGCCACAAACCGCAGGAGTTCATCGGTATTCGTACACGGAGATGAAAATGTTTAAGCGACTCCCTTGCCTCTTACGTCGGTTAGAATATTGATATTTACATTCTAATCCCCAAACTGATCGAAGTAAAGATATTCCTACCTTTCTGCAATATTACTTGGCCTGGTTGTCAAGGCTCATTGTAACCCGAACCTTTGCGGTTGTTTTCTCGTATTGGCATATATGGTAAGGAATCACATCTTGTAGGTCCAGCTCCCAGTCTCACTCTAACTGGGGAAGTAATAGACCAACTGGACGTGTCTTATTATTCCGGCAGCTATATCTCATCCGACCGACGCGTCGCGGATGATGTGTCGCCTCGCACTCAGAAGGCTGGATTGACATTTGTTAGCTTGGGACGTCTCTGGCTGCGCTGCGACATCCGGCTGTCTGTGAAGAGTCGAATATATACTGCTGCAGTTAGGCCAGTTCTGCTGTGCAGCGCAGAAACATTGGCTATTTAGAAAACGGGGTAAAGATAGACTGTCGACGATTAAATAAAGCTGTCTACGCAGCACTAAACGAATCTGCTGGGGCAACCGGACGAGTAATGATGAGGTCAGGCAGTTCAGTTCAGTTTGAACTGAACTTCATTCGTAATGACTTAGGTGCACATTACACAAGTTGAAGGCGGGGATATTAAAACATGCCCACAAAGAGCAATGTGATGCATATCCTGTATTTTCCCACACCAGTGTTGCATCTTTTTAGACCCGATAAGTTAGGAAGATGTCCGGATTATCTGAGTGTTAATGTGACTATGTGCGGCATGCATTTTGCTTTAAGAAGTAAAGAGATAACACTAAATTAGATAACCTCTGCTGTGGAAGTCCTTCTCACTGCCTTATCATGGTGGAGGTTTTCTCCACCAAAGTGAGAGGACGAAAAGCCGTGTTTATAACCGGGTTGGTGGACCACTAGTAGTTCACCGAGGGGAGCTGGCCAAAAACCCTGATTCCAAACCAGCCAAGAGGAAGAGGCGTATGAACCCCGCACACCTTCCCGGTTGTTGCAGTGTTCACCGGCTCAATTGGGCATCCAGGTGTATTGGAGACCTTAGATGTTTGATCCCGTCCAAAGGGCGTATGGTTCGATGAATTGGACACCGACCCCCAATGAATTGCGGTTTTCGCACACCCTCCCGCTGCCATGCGGGTTGGGCTTTGGGTAAACAAAGACTCCGGTTGTGGATTCCTCAAGAAAATTCACCTGCCTTGGCCTGGGCAACCTGGTAGTATTCGGCCCACATGCAAATCATGGAACGTGTTTTTTTTTAATATATATATATACATCCAAATTCCAGCCTATCCCTAACTGGGCCGCAACAGACAATGTAGGTACATTTTGCTGTTTATGCAGCATTATTTCACCTGACGGATGTATCATGACTTAGGCTCTAGCACACATGGAAAACTTGGTCATTCGTTTGCTCAATAGAGACATGTATGGTACCACTGTGACATCAGTTCGTTTGGTGCTGCTGTGTGATGTAAAGATTTGGTCTTGACAGGAACAGAGTAATAGTAGATTAGCGGCGATCGAAGACCGTTATCCCTAGCGCACTGCAAGTCTGGTTGGAAAACCGGGCTGACGAATCCAAGCTTATGATGACTGTTTGGTATTCGCGATCTTTCAGTCAAGCAATTTCTTGACCTTCATAGATTGCGATTGCCAAAGCATTTGGTAGCTAATCAATGATCAGACTTCTCCTTTGGGATACTCAACGATGCAGGTGGTGAGTAAACGAAGACTAAAGGCACTCAGAATAAGATTTGGCCATGGCCAGCTGTTACGTAGATCCCACTATATACAAGTCTACTGAGTTTTTCTACTCCTTGGTTCCTAATATTTTCTCATCCGATGAAGTTTTGTCTCCAATTAGTGTTGAAACCTGATGAGGTAAGCAATCGACTTCCGTTGTTCATGAAGCTTTATGCTGACGAAAACAACGCACGGTTTAGTCAACTCGATGGGGGTCATGCGTTGCAGTTTCCAAGACCCAACCGGAACGTGCGATAGCATCAATTCAAAAGTAATTCTAGCCGCATAATGGTGATATATAAACGATGTCACGTCTGCAGTCTGTGCGAAAACACTGTAACATTCGTTGTCGCCAACCAGTTCACACGCATTTGAACTACGCAAATGAATTGTCGTTGGACGTGGAAACATTATCGACACTAACATCGAGTGCGTTTCAATGGCTGCTCCATCTGCGCTTAAGTAATATGGCCTGAAAAATTGCTGTCATGATTTCATTCTCGTTGAGTGCAGTCATCACTGTCCTCGTCTACCGGAACCATTTTGATCTAGCTGCTGTGGTCAAATCATCGCGTTCCGATTCATACAGGTTGAATCGAAATTTCTGCTTCAGTCAGGAATCGATTCCGAACCCGTTGGAGCATTGCAGCCCCACTGCTCATGGCACGGTTCTTGTACTCTTTGACAATCAGGGCGATTGACCGAGTGTTTAGTGAGTTTGCTTGCCCTTATGATCTGTTGTGTTACTTTTTTTCTTCTTTCGTAGCAGACGTGTCCGGAGCGAACTGTGGTAGTGCACAAGACACCCGAGGAACCATTGGGTATCTCAGTTGCCGGCGGTCGACATTCACAACGAGGTGACACTCCTATTTATGTGACCAACATCAGCCCGGACTGCGTCTTGGGTCGCGAGAAATTGGTAAATGTTTGATTACGTAATGTTCGTTTGCACAATTCAGAATCGCTTTCGTTTCCCGGCATTTCATCGTTCGTACAAAATCTGTTTGGTTTCATTCTTGTATGTTTCTTTTGTCAACATGTGATGTGATGTAGCTCCACAGAACACGATCGACAATAGTTCGGGAGAACGGAAACGATGCGTCGTACAAAACAGGTGAACGCGACAACAGACAGAACAACAAACCACCAGTCACTGTCGATCCGTTCAAATCAAGTTTATTATGAGACTGCAGTGCATTAGGGTGAGGCCTCTTCTTCTTAGGGACAGTGTTCGTCGAAATACTAGGTCTTCGAACGTCATTCAAACCGCTTATCGTCAGCGATGCTCGTTTTTGAGACAATCTTTTCTGTACGCTTTGAATGTAGTGTTTGATCGTTAAACAAGAACGTCTGTTTTCGTTCCAACACTATTCCGCTTCATTTAATTTTGTTTGTATAGCTATCCCATCGATATGGTCCGTTATTGGCTATGACGACACCATTCGGTCAGATCGTAATCTTTCAAGTCAATTCAAGAAGCCACTTTATTTCGCCCTATGAGGGATGAATATTCAGCTACTACATAATCACTCTTCTGTAATGGAAATGGCAGTGTAGGGACAAAACGAATGATGCACTGCATATACAGACAAATTCAGCAAAGTTTGAGGTTAATGAGGTCAATGACAATATCGGCTTGAGTAGTCGGCATCGCAGAATACTCGTATGTTGTGGTACGTGCTGCTATATGCTTATACTTGGAGCGATTGGTAGATTTAGAGATACATTTACTATGATTAGAGTACAGGGGTGAGATGGATCTAGTAGTATTCTGGCAAGCCTTAAAAAGCTGTGAAATTATGAACTGAACAATATGTTCGCGAGACCTACCACTGTGTCAACGTAAATGTTTGTTGGATGCACGTATGAGTTTTAAACCTTTGATAAAAAAAACCCCGGAAAATAGCTGGGGATGCATAAAGCCAGTGGGGAAGCATACGAGGCACGACAAAACATTGAGGGGGTAACATTTTCAAATGGACAATGTAAAACGTGAGTTTCCTAATTTTGTTAAATTTCTCGACGACATGAGGAGAGCAAGAAAGATTGCGGAAAATGGTGACTCCAAAGTATTTGACGGAGCATCCTCTGGAAACTAGTTCTCCATTGATAATGGTATGCTGGTAAGAGTTCATCACATCAATGCATTGGTTACCCTTCAGCAAAGAAAATAAGACATTCTTACACTTGGAGGAATTCATTCTAAAATTGTAACGTATTGTGGCACATTTGCCAGTTCTCTGTAATTGGTTAGGTGTACGAAAACTTCATGCCATTCACTGCATTATCAGCATAACTAATAAGCAAACAATCACCAAAAACAGGCATGGCATGAGGGATGCCAGCACATTGAGGGTTAAGCTGATGCTGTGATAGGGAAATTCAGTGGGACCGGGTGCATCCAGCTAGGACAATACATTCCGCAATAAAATTATTTCTAGAACATTCAAATCAACAGAACGACTAGCAATCGCGTGAAATTCAGACTTTATCTTTTAGGGTTCTGAAAGAAACCACTTTCCAGCAGTCCGGATTGCAATGCTGAGTAAAGCACAGGTCGGGAAAAACGGACACTGCTCATTCTTTGAGCACCACAGGTGGCATTCCATCAGGACCGCATTTTTATCAGAATACAGACTGATGAAAACTTCTGCTTGATCCGTAATTAAATTAACAACATTGACAGGAGGGATGACTGCTGTGCACGGAACCGGAGTGTCGCTTTCAGCATTACAAAATTGGCGATTGAAATCGTCCACGTTGGCAGCGGACAGGTTCTCTTTCTTTTCGAGACCGCAAAACTGAAATAACATTTTCCAAGTATCGCGAAAATTTCTGTTGGCCAACAGTATTGTATTGTATCCAAGCTTTAGCGAGTTATATATACAAGCTTTCATCGAAAAAAATAGACCACCGTTACAATTCTCGTAAAAACAGGGGAAAAAGTGGGTTATGAAAACATACAAAGGTATGAGTTAATTACCAAATGCATTAGAAAGCTCAGAGCGAACACTTCTTGTCTGTCAGTATCCGGGTAAGATAGGGTACCAAAGAGTTTCTGTATGCGGATATGCGAGACGGGATAAGTTTGTACTTGGAATGGGTGCAGGGGTGGGATTTGCATGCACACAAGTCAATGTGTAGGGGATGTGTGCAATCAGATAGGATATCGTCAGCAAACTTCAAGCACGCACCAATATGGGCATTACACACGTTTCCAATCAGAACAGATAACGGAACTTGGGAGACACGATTGATCATTGAGAGGCCACGTCTCAGCAACTTGAAATCAGGGGAAATTACAGGAGAGCACTACAGGGGTATTGGAAGGACACATTGTTGAACGAAAGCGTTCATCACCGACGAGTCAGAACAGAATTGGCGCAGTCTTCTTATCTGAAAAGAGAAACTTTTCAACTTGCGAACAGTACTTTGGGTATGTAAGGACCAGCGAAGGTTACTTTCAAGTGTGACACCTAAGTACTTCACATGGCTGACCCTGCTCATCGGCTTTTCATGAATCTGGACATTTTCAGAGGGAGATGGAGTACGGTTTAGAGTGAATATACATTCAAGGCATTTTTCAGGATTAAGATTAAGACTCGAAGAAGTGGAACAAGTGCATATACATAAGCAGCATTTAATCTCCGCAGCTCTACCTTGGTTGTTTTTTTTTGCTTCGGAGGGTTGTTTTCTCTTCCGACTTAATCATTTAAATGCGAGGGACGAGAAGCGGTTTGACCATACGTATAAAATTTCCCATGGATAACACGTATCATAACAGAACTTTAATTATTCTGAGGTTGACACAAAAGATTGAGTGGTTATTAAGTACAAATCTATCTGATCTAATATATTTTTTAGTCTGAAGAGGTTTCGGGCTGATATTGATGCCGACGATCACGACACTCAATGTAGAATTGATGATTGGATTCCCTGTAGATCACGGGAGATAGTTTCAGTGCCGTATGATCGGAGGTGCCCATAGGGAAACGGCTAAATATGTTTAGGTCGTTAAGGGAAAATAGATAAAAAAATCTTCGAGTTCGTTCAGAAAGTTGACGACGTTCTGCAATCAAGAAATTGACATCGAACCTATTAAAGTCACCACATACGATACAAAGGGAACAGTCAACATGATTTAGTAAAGCGGGGAGAAAATGTCTATGAACTAATTAAAATGATCAGTGGAATGCGAGGAAGAAATGTAAATGTTATCAAAAATAATAATTTTGCAATTACTGAGGTGTTCAGGTTCACATTTATACAGAAAAGTACTGGTAAACATAGTAGAATACACGAAAACGCGTCCGCCTGGTTTGCACCAATCGTCAATATTGTATGTGATAACAATTCTACCTCGTTTCTGAACCGGAACAGGTCGATCAGATCGGCACATGGAAAGTTGTCGACATTGACTACGTTGTCCTTGATTTCATCGTGGAGCCAGCTCTCTTGAAGCATTACGACTCCAACCTTTGAATATTCACGTCTCCTGGTCAGGCCGTTCACTTCTACCATATTACCAAACAGGGAGCTCACATTTACACTGATGACCGCTCGAATGCAGATGTCTGAGATGGAAGTTTGCGTAGTGCAACATACCATCCAGCCCAATGTTTTCTTGGGAACTTTCTTGATATTTCCGCGGATTCTCCTTGTTATCAGCCGATTTGCCGAAAAGGTGGTAAAATCTAGTGGTACTTCAATAGAGGTAGAAAAGTACTTCACAGAATTTAGGATGACCATAATCGCACAGCGTTTCCATAGCAACGGAGGACGTGTACCGCAGATGAGAGTTCAGTGAAGAGTGAATATGTAGTTTGGGGTTCGACGATATAACGGACCGCGGAGCCCAATTCTAACGTCCTCGTTGCACAAATTCGATGTTTAAGGGTATTTCTTCCTCACTTGCTCACTCAGCATGTGTTCTGTCGTTCAAGAATCAGGACCTATTCCGTTTTATGACGGTGAATCGAAACCACCTCTAGTTTTATTTGTGGTTGATACAGGTTATCAGATAGACACCCATGTAACACTTCTGTGTACCGGTAATCCCACGAGCCCCTTAATAGCTATGCTCTCTCAGCTGCACTGTTTTCGGAAGTGCTTCGGGATCTTACATTATCCTCCCTCTACGCCCCTCACCAGGTCAAACGTGGAGATGTTCTGCTTGAAGTGAACGGAGTCGGTTTGGTCGGTTTGACCCACAACGAAGCAGTAGATGTTATTCGTCGAGCTAGTTCTATGCAGTCACAGGTGGATTTGCGCCTGATCGACGCACCAGAAACAGGAGAAGGACCGGAAAACTTCATGCCCTCCTGGACATTCTGGTTAAAGTTGCCTCCCGTTTGTCAGCTGGCGCGAACTATACGTTTGGTGCGTAATTTCCAGTCTTCTTCGTCCTCATCCACCCTGGGTGGATTAGAACCGCTTGGTTTCACCATCATCGGCGGTCTAGGTGATGGAGGGACAAATGGACGGACCCGATGCAGCCCTCAATCTGGAACGGAATCATTTGCAGATCCGACCGATTCACCTCAGCGAGGGCATCCAGGTGGCTACACAAACCTCTACCCTTGTCCTATTGTGATCAAATCCATTGTTCCTGGTTTTCTGGCCTCTCGTGATGGTCGACTAAAGTAAGCGATTGCTTCCTTTGGAGACTGAGTTTGTATTCTATCGGAGTACTAGATTTGCCCATCAAAATGTCTATCTTCTCATTTCATGTCTCCACTCTGTGTTAACCCATAGACACCAGTTGAGTAGCGTCAATCAATGTCATTTGGACTTGCCAGCGAAATTCTGTCACCACCTGCCTCTGTAGAGAATTGTCCTTCCGGATGTCACCACGCGGATCAATTGAGTAGACAGTCTAATGCACTCGATGGACATCTGCGTTATCAGATTCTGTTCACCAAGAGGAAAATATCTACATTGACATTTCAACTGCTTTTTATAGGTGATTGCAGTACCTTAATCTGTCATTGATTGTAGTATTCCATAATGTCGTAGAAATTGATAATACTAGATAAACCTGAATTTTCGTTTGTTTACTGTATCAGTATCACTTCCGTTCGCTTTCGGATATTCATAAACAGTCAAAACACATTGATCGTGCACCAGAGCTGAAAACAAAAGAAATAACAATCTCGGGACAAAAGCGAAACTATTTCACATTTGGAAACAATTCTCCAATGACTTTGTCGGTGTGCATGTCGCACTTATAAATGAGAAAACCTCGGGATAACAGGCAGCAGTTAAACAACAAGACCATTCGTAATGGGTAAATAGAATGTCTAACTTGCCGCTACATGTATTGATGATGTAGTTGACCCCATCTCCTGTGTTTTGAGGATGTTTCTACCTGGATAACTCAATTGTAGCCTCCAGTTTCCGTGAAAGGGATTTCAACATCTTAGCCGGCATTCGTGGGCGTACACAGCACAGAACGGTCAGTTTACCAAAAAGTGATAGTGTTTTCACTGGTCACCACAGGAAGACAGTTCTACGGATATTAGGCGATCAAACGCATCCATGCAATCGGGCGCACACGTCAACAGAACAGTTGCTTTGATTCTTAACGAGTGAAAAATGTCATCCAAACGCCACTTATAAGATTCAAACGGATGTCCGTATCGAATGCTTTATGTGAAACTAGTCATTCTGTAATTGGAGAGCTTATGAGAATCCACAACTAAGCAAGAGCTGAAGTTTGAATGATGTTTAAAACGGTGGATTTATAAAATGGATCATAGTTTAATTCACAAAACCATTAGTGTCCCATTTTCTCAATGAGCATACAATATGCGACACTTGTATTAACTCTATTGATGTCAAAGATTTTACCACAATTTGAACTCACTTTTCCAGTGTCCTTCCGTTTTTTGTAGATGCGGCGATCTTATTTTAGCTGTAAACAACGTGTCCATGTTGAACATACCTCATGCGTCCGCAGTTCGCCTGCTTAAACAGCTCCAAGGTGACGTGGCTCTTCAAATCATCTCTTGGCCTGGAACTATCGTATAGTGAGCACTGAATAATAGTCGCATCTGATCTTACCAAATGTGTGCTACTGGTCCACCTTCGCGCACATAATCAACGAAGCTGTAATTTTCTACCTCCGCGCAAAAGATGTTAAAACTCGAAATCTCTTCTGCTCTACGATCAATAGATGAACCACAACTACCGACCACATGTTCTCAGTGGTTGCCCGATCCAGATCATGACTATCAGCTACAACCCCCTCCCCTATTGAACATTGTCATTCATGGGATCTCCCCTGATGCATCCGCCAGCGCCGGTAGCCGGTTTCATTCACACTTATAATCATGTCCCGTTGACCGCGCGATTGTTACGAGTGCCTTGTTATTTCACTCCCGACTCACAATGTCCTAATCCCCTTCTCGACCCTGATCCAGTCGCAGGTTGTCCGTCCGGACAACCGCAGTTGATCAGTCCAAAATCAGTTATAAATTATTCATTCATTTCCTTCCATATTCTCTGTTCGCACACCCTACGCGCTCAGACGCTTGGCTCACATCCAAACTCGAAGTAAACACATGGTACATTAACCCTGAAACGCAACGAAAACAAACGTGATTTGTGGAGTACGGAAATATTTGATGTTGTTGACTGCGCATAAAGCTGAATAAAGAATAAGATAGAGATCTGTTTCAACATAGAAAATATACACGAAGAATGGCGGACAGAAGTAAATTAATTTCTCTCTTGTGCATGTATATGTGTCCCATGGATATCACCAACGTAGTTACTCATGGACGAATTTAACGGGATTAGGGGACGTTTGAAGAAATCACAGAAAAACGAAGTCAGATAAACACCGTTGTTTGTTTCACACATCGATCGTGGCCAATCGTGCGATAATCCACTTCAGATTGATGAGCATCATTTTCAGTGCCTTGGTCCAATCCTCTTCAGAGTCTTTGCTCCAGCTGTTTTTTTGGTGTAATTAAAAAAGGCAGATGAGAAGTGAACAAAGGAGTGAAAACCGTAAGCTTTATTTTCTCCTGCCGTGACATGAGTTCACCAACGATAACTTTAATAGATAGAGCATAAAACAGCGAAGAATTGGTGGTCAAACAATCATTATCATCATTCTCATTCCTGCGCCATTCCTCCCTACCTACGTGTCCCTAGGCAGTCTGAAAATCGACCGCATTCTAATTCTTGAAAATCATTGCATACTACATGCTCAAAGGAACATTAACATTATTATTTGTTAGTTACGACGATTCCCTGAACCTCAGTGCCACAAGAAGTCCCGAACTGGATGATAAGTAGCAATTACCGTTGATGATGTGCAGAACGGCATTCGTGAAAATAAATAAAAATTGCTCGGTTTAAGTAAGAGTGAAATTACCACCTGTTGAGATAACTCCTAACGCATAGGAAACCACGACATCAAAAGAAATCTGGATTTACGCCTGTAGTGGCCAACGTTTTTCCCGGTCATTTGAGTTGTCCGAAGCACTTTCCATTGGTTAGGCAGACACAATAGGCGTGTTCGCCCGGTGCGCGAGGATTTCAGAAGTGCATTGTAACGTGGAGATTTGGGAAACCTAGGCGATGGATAGCAAAAGTCTAAAAAGGAATACAGAGCTACATGCCACTGGGCACTTCCTCCAGACCGGAGATAGAACGTCGGTCAGCAACTTGGTGATAAAACGTGAATACGATGAGCATGTGATCACAAAACAGGCGATCGAGGATGACCAGCCGCAGCACACAACGAAGCGATGCGAGTTTTCTCGCCAAGCGTTTTCCACTATAAAAATGGTGGCCTGCACACCACACTGCTCCTGTCATGTTCTATCTACTCAACATGGTTTTCTAGAAGAGGCCAATGAACTGTTTGATAGGCCAGCGGCTCGNGCGGCTCGTCTGGAGTAACCCTGCCATCTTGCAGGTTGCAGTGTAAGTACAAAGGCTAGGGGTTTATGGACCGGATGAGTCACCGCTAGTCCTACTGCTCCGGACTGGGTATCTGAGTGGCACAACGATCCCCACAGGAGCTGGCAACAGTGTTTCGTATTTTTGCTCCACGAAACTTTAGGCAGCAGTAATGGTAACAACGTATCTTTCAACAAGAGATAAATCATTAAAAGATACGGATGTGAAGAATCAGAGGCACTAGATTCGCCGTTTTCAGAAGGATGGCGACTATGAAGGGGAAAAGTAAAGGCTGACGACGAAAGACCGCTGGAAAGATTATCACAGTTATTTAGAGAAAGGTCAAAACCAATTGCTTCTCTCTTGGGCCAAAGTCTGCGTGCTAGGCTCTCAGGTTTCTACAGCTGAAGTTCTCACCGCAGCTTAATTCAACGCGATCTGAACGCCAGAAGCCCAACAATGACCGGCCTTAAAGAAGCAACAGAGAGTTCGGTGGACAATACGACGGTATCTGTAACACAACTAAACGTTGTAGCAAGTGTTCTGGACTGATAGGCCAGATTGTCTTCAAGAGAGTATGACAGAAGGATTCAAAACATCACGATTTAGAGAGGCTTTCGAGAAAAAGATGGGGAGAAGTGACAAGTTAATAAACGGTACGTTTATTCTGAACGGGTACCACGGTGATTATGGATTCAACTACAGCATTCGTCGCGGGAATTTTCATTATGTAGGAAAGTAGCGGCAGAATTTTTGTTGTGCAAATTTCTGAGAGATTTCATGACCGAAAGTGGGGTGAGGCGCAGAGGCGTTTTCCACCAGAAAAACGATCATGAACATCAGTGAGATAAGTGCTTTAGGAGAGTCCAAGATGTGGAACTGGAAGATAACGTTCAAAGGAAAACAGGTTAGCAAGGTGTTTTTTCTTGTATATTATGTATGTATGTCCGATCGCTGACGATGGCGTTTGGTGAAATAAGAGATGAAAACGAGTGGTATCCTCGAGAAAAAGACGAATGGCGCTGGAAACTAGAGGTCATTAGTACACAAGAATTTTATTGGGAAGAGCACAGAACCTTGATGAACGCCATTAATTAATTACGGTATAGATGGCTAAGCCCGTTAGTCCAGACTGCGGTCAGGCCTTCTCTGAGGAAACCAAAGAGCCGTGATAAAGTTTCCGCAGGGAAACAAAAAGCTTTCCCAGCACAGATTGCTACGGCGTGTGAAAGGATTTTCGATATACACGAGGTACGAAAAGCGGTTCATTGTAATTTTTCGTCGCATAGAAATGTACTCCAGTGTGAATGATTTATTTTTCGTCAACTAGTGATTGCAGTTGACCATAGGTTGTTGTCTTTAAAATACTGTCAGGGGAATAAAACGCAGTTGCATATCCTAGTAACTCACGTGATGGAGTAAGTGCGTCCATCTTGCGGATCGTGGATTTTCCCACCACTTTTGACTTGATACGGCAGCTGTGCGTTCGAATTGCTTTCTACCACTTGTTGGACCTGCCCCACACATTTCAAAAAGATGGCCATACCTGCGTTGAACCTTGGGATAAGAGATAAGAGAGGTCAGGGTACATGCCAATACACTGACAATACGGAATTGTATGGCAGGGAAACGTGTTCACGACTTTCACACAGGAAGGCACGAGTGAAATTAGGTGCATGCATCCCAAGCCCTGTCTTTGTGGTCACCAAATGAAACCGGTGCAGCAAATGCGACTAAATGTTGAGTCACTGGGATAGCAATCTGTTGTATATGGCAGAACCGAATAGTAAAACTGTGTTCCGCTGTGAACCACAAAAACAGGTCACACAAATGATAACACCAAAATGAGTAGTTCAAAGATCACTGAACCTGTTTACAAAATATAACACGAGATAACAATTATTAACTAAAAAACCGATGATGTAAGGGATGCTACAACAGGATTCCTTTCATGAATAATTTGATGATTATGCTCATTCTAATGCGGCTCCCTGTAACTAACCGCAAGACGCTTGCTGCGTTACCTGTTTTCTTCGCATGCATTAAAGACATCGAAATTTTATATTCTATCCACTTAAAATGGAATACAAGCTGATTTCAAAAAGTAATTAACAACAAAAGGTAAATGTTACTGAGTTTTGGCCTCCTGCACGTAGCGCTCGGTGATTTCGAAGGAGAACTAGAGTGATTTGGAAAAGAAACTCACGCACGTACGCAGGTATACGCTAGTGTGGCTGTTCAAAGATGCACAACACTACCACACGTAGACGGGAAACCCGTCACTTACTTCCCCTGACTGAAAATGTTTGTCACATAATACAGTGGATGTTCTCTCCGACTCTGAATTTCTACGATTTTCGAACGGATTCCCATGGGAATAATTTCATAGCTAGATGCAGGGACGAAAAGCAAACGAATTGCATGTTAGGAAAAAAAAAAGCATCTAAAGTCTACGATTACATAAAATTCGGGTATTGGATATTGAAAACAGATGTGGAATAGAAATTCTGATTTTCTTTACAAAAGGTTCCACTTATTTTGTATCAAACCGATTACGCTGCGCGCACTGCTGTATTCAATGGAACTCGTAATAGGCACAAACTGTAAGCGTCATAATTCACGTACAACAACAAAAGCATGTCATCAGCCGACACTGGCCGTACAGAACAACACTCAGCCAGTCAATAACAAGCAAACACGTGATACAGTCTGATTGGTCAACGTAATCAAGGTCCCATGTGAGGAACGTCCGTGTCCTGTGCGTGTATGTTTGTAGGTGTGTACCTCGAGGATTGATCTTGCATGTTCAATGGGAGTAATGTATACAAGGGTTATCTAACAAATGCGTTAGGCCACGCAACAGGCACAAAACTACCATTTGTTCTAGGATGCCAAAGACAAACGGGCGAATTTCTTCAGGTTTCAGAACCAGAGTCTGCATGTAACTAAAGCTTGACCCCAAATACATCAGGACAGTGTTTCGAGAATCACAGTTCATTGGGGTCAGTGTCTAATCAATCTAATGCCGTATGCACTACACACTACCGCATTTTCACACAGTGGAAAACTTAGCAAGCCGGACATGTGGAAATCTGACACCCTATCTCGACTAGCGTCTAATTTTGGTCGAGGAAGCACTTCTTCCCGGAAAATGCTCGTTCAATATAACCATCTTTTAGCGCTTTCCAAGGAATCCTGATCCTGCAGTTTCCGCCTTTGTTGGCGTTGGCGTGGATCTCAGTCAGAGAGTTAAAGTCGCGCCCATGGAATGGATCCCAGTCGACAGTCAGTTATGCGCAGTGCGACCTAAAGATACGTAAAATGTAAACAGTGTCTATCACGAAAGGCGCAACTTGTTTGTGGTGTTAGCGTTTACATCCGCAGCATAGATGCAGTCAAATACGTCCTCTACCACAAGTTACAAGACCGTTTGTACAGAACAAGTCGACTTGATATCGTAGTTGTAGCAGGAGATTTGAATGCTAGGGTAGACCGATCTTCAAACGAGGGGCAATCGGAAAGTATTTAGGAACCAGGTTAGTACCATTCGGAAAACGGGGAACGGCTGTTGGCTCGGTCCGGATCATTGTCTAGTTCTCAATAGTAAAGTTTTGAAATGCTCCAAATGCCGATACGCCAGTTGACATCCGCTCTCCTCGAATCAGCGACAGACCCAGATCGACCACATCGCTATGAGCCATAAATAAAGACTGACGGTCGTGGGTGCAATTGAACCCGACTACGTATCAGATAGCACTAAACTGTCCATGTGCTTCGGTGAGCACTCAAACAAGTGGCACAGCAACGGCTAGCATGCGATAAGTTATCCGAATGAACGAGCCCGGTGAAAAGCTAGGGACCACATCAACTGCATTCTGTTCATTAGATGAGTGTCCCTAACCATGGAATTATTCGGTCACGAGGTCCCCAACAAAGAAGTTTAATGAAGCCTATTTAACCGGAAGACCTAATCATATAGATGTTTTGGTCACATTGTAGCGATAAATCTACATCCCGGTGCCTTGTTGATCGGAGTTTTGAGTGCGAGGCACTCTCTGAGTGTATGCTAAGCTTAGAATCTCAGATAACTCTTGGGAAACCACTGTTCCGCACTTTTATTAAAAGCGCACATTACCACAGGGTGTTTTCAATGCATGTGTTCAAATTACAGGATATGCGTAAAGGTTATAACATTTCAGTTCTAGAGATCGTAAAAAATTAGAGAAGCAAAGTCATCAGCAATGACAAACATGCGATTTTCTTGATCCAAATCCTCCAGACGATTTATGTTTCGTTTGATGATAACCAACCTCAACGAGTTACTCAAAGAGATATAGACCTAAAGCTATCAATACAGATGCTTCTGTTAATGAATTTGGACCTCTGCGAAACTTCAACGACTATACCTGTAGAAAAAGTGAACAGTCGTCTGAAACATTTTATGTCCAGTCGTTCGACCAATGGAAACCTAGGAGGACAAATCCTGGAAAAAAGTACGTTCATGGTAGTAGATGAGTTCATGCAATCACGTCGTGTACTGTGGTTTGCAGCTGGTCTACTCTAGCAAAGCAACTAGACAGATGGAAAAGAGGTCGTCCAACTGGGTGCAAAGCAACTAAAACCCAACGTAATAAGCACAAACCGAGTATGTTCCACAGAAAATTTCTTTTTTACTGCGAACAAAATGCGTAATGACGAACCACGAGATCATAACCGACGGAGTTTCAGATCATAGAAAGCAGTGATCAGATTAAATTGCATAACCGAAATATCCGAGAGATTTTCCTTCACAATGGATACCCAGAAAGATTTGTGGACAACATTCTGAGACGTCACCAGTTGCCAAACAAGATCACTACCGCAGCAAAACTGCGTATCGTGTTCATCTCCAAGCCACGTTTGTGCTTCCAACTCAAAGATAAATTGCCTGCTTCTGTCGTCTCTTTTTGTGTGTACTTATTTACCTGTTCCTGTAGGGCAAGGGATATTGGCTGCATGAGCAGACGTTTATCTGAACGACTCCGTTAGCGCCACCCGACCTGGCTGAATAGTGGAGTAATTAAGGCCATTAACAGCTCGATCGTTTAACACCTGGTGGAATCAAACCATGTGCTTAATGAGACCGCGGCGTTTCGACCCCCCCCCTCCCACACTTAGTTCGCAGCCGTCGATCTAAGAAAATTCGGAATCGCATTATGGCCACGGCGGAAGGGATCGGAATCCGCCTACATAATCCCTCCTGTGCTCGCAAAAACAGTTCGTAAGAACATTCGATCTTCCATGGCCACCACACAACACACACGACACAACCATCCCACCACCAACCCCTAATGACCCAAACTAATGTGCACGTGTGAGGTCCAAAGTGTGAGCAACAACCAGTNCTCTTAATAAATTGTGATGTATTAGCCTGTAGAAGAATCACCGCAAACGAGCTTGTTCGCTACTCTGTTTTCTTACAATGTGTAAAGATCGTATATTCGGACAATTGAAAGGAAATGGGTTGATAAAGAAGTTAAGCTCAGTGTGAACAACCATTAACCATGCACATTCGTGGGCCGATTTCGGCTGGTCTTTTTGATACCCATTTGAATGAACAATAGGAGATAACAGACAATCGAGACCCACGGTACAGCGTCTGCGATTGCTGCAAATCGGCCTTCGAAGCGGAGCTCTCCGATCGCCTGTCAGTTCAACCACCAATCGAAGGACTCAATGGACATTGGAAGCAAATCACGGAAGCTATGCAAGTATCAATAAAAACAACATCGGACCCTGGCACATGTTCAAAACACAAACGATGGATTTCGTCGACCTCGGCTGCCCTGCTGAACACCCGCAAAAGCCCTCCCTCCGGATGCCACATATGACACAGCGCGCAAATCTCTTAAACGCCGGCTCAGCAAGAGTCTGAGGAATGACCGCGAGAAGTGGTGGGTAGGAAAGTGTAGAG